TAAGAGGGTGTGGATAGTTTTGGACCGAGCCAGAGAATCAGCGAAAGTCTTTAGGTGTCCGTATACACCAATGTCGCACACGGCCTATAGAAAGCCTGATCAGTAAAGAAGCGCGCTAGGGAGGACTAAACTTGCCAAATTACTCCATTCAGGCAAACATTTGAGCACAATTTCCGTGAGATCAGTCGTAGCCTTGTTGGTACGCGCCTTCCCCCCGCTGTGTCGCAAGATAACGCGTCGAGGATTGATCAGCGAGAGTCCGCGGCATAGACCTGAGGTCGAATCAGAAGACCAAATGTCCATGGTGAGGACGAGGTCTGTGACGCTCAGCGTGCCCTTGAGGATGGGATGCATCGACGCGCCGAGTCCTCCCTCGAGCCGCAGCTTCTTGATGAAACGGCCCAAGTCCGGATTCAATTTCAGGGCAGCTGCAAGCGCTGCGGCCTGGGCTTTGGAGCGGAGAACCACTACGTTATAGAGCAGTGGAGTAGACACCCTGAGCCATGATTTCGAAACAAGGAGGAATGCGGAGGCCGAGTGGCCGGAATACGACGCGAAAGGCGAGTTGGGCGAAGTGTCTGAAAAGTCCGTGTCGGACACGCTGAGACTCGGGGTCAAAATTTCCGAGAGAATCTCGTCCGGGAGGTGCTGCTCCATTTGAGCGCGCAAAGTATATGATGAAAGAAAGAAAAACGGAGACGCGTTCCGTTTGTTTGTGAGTAATTGGTCGGAGCAAACATGGATCAACCGAGATCGGCCAAAGCGCAGAATATAAAGTCTGGTCTGCATCTCCTCACGTCATTCACTTCAGGTCAACCTGGCGCGAGGCACTCCTGAAAGAATCTAATGACAGTGTCCAACCAGAGGACGTACGAAGCCAGCGCCTAACGGCCGCATAACCCAAAATGCCATAGCCCCAGCGATATAACTAAGCCCAACCCCTAGACCCCACAACCAACCCGACACTGACCACGCACCAAATCTCTAGATGCGCAAAAACTCACAGCACCCCACCACAAAAAACTCACATCCACGAATCAAAAACCGTACTAAGGAGGCGTCAGGTACAGGTAACTAGAAGAAAGCTAAAGAAAAACAACAAGCGAAAGCCGTATAGTATGTATGTATGTATTGTGAATGTATGTACGTGTACGTATGAATGCACCGACGCCGAGGCCGAATTACGATCGATCATGACGCGCACCAAGAAGCCGCCTGCCTGCCCCGCTACCCTCACGAAGGCCGCGCTAAGACCCCCCATCCCGCACCGCCCCCAGCACCACCCCCGCCATCGCGCGCGCATTCACATGCACATGGTGCGCCGCGTCCCCCACCTCCCAGCACACCTCCACCCCGCGCATCCACGCATACCCCAGCACCTCCTCGATGCTGCTCCGCAGCTTCGGGTCCGGCTCTAGCATCTTCCGCAGCAGCGGCCGGCACGCCCGTGGCGATAGGTTGCTGATCGTCGGTGGGAACACCATGTTGTTGCTATTGCTATTACTGGTACTTGCGTTTGCGGTGTGCGTCGAGGAGGAGGAAGAGGCGTGCGCGGTGGAGGAGGCGGTGGATGTGGATGTAGATGTGGAGTTGGCGGCGGTGGTTGAGGAAGAGGTGGGGGCGGGCGGAGCGGCGGCGAGCGACGGGGGCGGCGTCTGCGCGGCAGCCGTCGCATACGCCGCATACAGCGCGTCCGACTGCTGTGCCGCGCGCCACGGCAGCTCCTGGAAGTGCAGGCAGTAGTACACGATGCCGCACGCCCAGATGTCCACGAGGCGCGCGTCGTAGGCTGCGGCGAGGGCGAGAGGTCAGCGGCCGCATACCACCTGCGATCACGACGCATGCTTACGTTTGCCCAAAAACTGTTCTGGCGCGATGTACGGCTCGCTCCCACAGAGCCCGGTCGACATGTGGATTGTTGCTTCCCATGGTAGCCGGTACACGGTCGAGGCGCCGTAGTCGCCGATCTGAGGGAAGGAGGCAGATTAGGATTCGGTCGGGGAGGGGAGAAGGTGGGGAACAGTAGAAGCGCAGCCTAAAACGGGCGAGTGCGCACGCAGCTCCGGGGACATCGCAAGGCTCGGGAACGCCTACAACGTCCAGTACAGCGCACCACAGGAACACGCCATGAAAGGAGGGAAACCGCAGTATTCCCGCCTCCTGCCTCCTCATTTTTTTTTTAAAAAAAAACGGGCGAAGGGTGCTTTTCCCTCCTTTCTGTAAAAAGAAATTCACAAAAAAACACACCTTCAAATGCCCCCCCGTATCAAAGAACAAATTCTCGGGCTTGATATCGCGATGCGCGACGCCCTGTGAGTGCAGGTAGCCGACGCCACACAGGATCTGCTTGAAGCAGCATTCGACCTGGGTGGGTTAGGCGATCATGTTAGTTGATGGTAGTGGATGTGTGGGACGAGAGGGGGGAGGGTTGGGATGAATGGGGAGTGGAGAGAAAGGGAAGGAAGTAAAAAAACGCACCTCGCTAGGCGACATCCCGCCCTTCTTGATCGCCGCATACAGGTCCCCGCCGGGGCAGAACTGCGCACAGGGAGGTTAGCCCAACGTTAACGCGGAGGAGGAGGGAAGAAAGCAAGCGGAAGATTGAGTAGATTAGAAGGATGGGGAGAAAGGAAGTGCGCTTGCGCTTTGCGTCGCGATGGTCGACAACCGCTTTGCGTCGCGATGGACGGAGTACCGTCGACATTCATCACGCCGACGCCCCTATGCATCACGACGACGTCCTGTCCGGCGCCAACACCACCGCGGGCCGAAAAGGGGCCGACGCGAAAAAGACATGGTCGATGACGACGAAAGACGCCACTGCCCTCGGCTAGCCACCGCAGAAAGGGGCACCCGGCTGCACATGCCCCGGACAAGCAGCGCGCGTCACAGAGGCGCGTCACCCCGCACCAGCTCTCCGCCATAGAAATGAATTTGAAAAAAAACGCACCTCCATAACCTCGCACCACCGCCCGCCCTCGTCCTGCACGAGGTCGACCTGCGGGGGATGACGTCAGTATCAGTATCATGTCTTTTGTGTTCATGAGGAGGATGGGGTGAGATGGGATGGAATGGGGGATGGGGGGAGGGGGAACGCCTTCCTTGGGGCCGAGGGAGAGCAAGAGGGAGAGGGACGTCGACGAGAAGGGCAGGCGCGCCGTCGACGCAAGCCCCGTCTCCCGTCCCCACGCAGATCCCTCAACCCCAAGAGCGTTATATTCGAATGACAAGAAAGCCTCCAAAGAAAAAGTCCCCGCTCCAAAAGAAAAGTCCCGCTCCAAAAGAAAAGTCCCGCTCCAAAAGAAAAGTCCCTCTCCAAAGAAAAAGAACACTGAAAAGAGACGCACCGTCTCGACGATGTTGACGTGGTGCAGCGTGCTGCTGATGCAGAATTCGGCGGTGAGCTTCTTGACGTACTCCTTCTCGGACTCGGTGCGCCGGCGTTTGCGGAATTCCTGGGTGGGGGGTTAGTTTTTTTTTTTGTGGGGGGAAGGGGGACGAAGAGGAGGGTGGAGTGGGTACTCAGTGAGGACAAGCGGGGGTGAAGTACAAGGCAAAGAAGCTGTATACGATGACGAGGACGATGTGGGACACCATCCACGCCACAATCATGCGCCAAGTGCCAAGAGCAGCCCGCACCCACAGACGTTAAAACAAAAGCAGCAACCCACCTTTACCGCATACATCTTGTCCCCGTCGTTCCTGTCCCACTTGTGTGCGAGCCTTACGACGCTGGTCGCGCCCTTTCCGATCGCGACCTTCTGGCACACGCCGTACTTGCCCCTGAGGCTCCCTGCGCTGCTGTCCCCGCCCACGCTGCGTCCCCCGCCCCCCGCCGCCGCCCCCTGCTCACGGTCCGAGTCCGAATGTCTTGACGACGCTGAGCGCGCAGACGAGCGCCTTGAGAGCTTCGGCCCGCTCGCGAGCAGGTCCTTCAGCGTGAACTTGTGTGACTGCACCGACGACGCCTCGCTCGTGACGGATGCCGCGCGCGAGGGGATCACCGGCGTCGCAGGCGCACTCTGGCTCTGGCTCGCGCCCTTCCCGAAGCCCTTCCCGAAACCGCCCTTGGCCTTCCCGCCGCCGTTGGTTTCGAGCTGGCTCTTCTTGACGCTGTCGCCGCCGAGCGCGAGCCGCTCGAGGTCCTTGCGCGTGTGCCCCGGCTGCTTGTCCTGCGTGCTCCCCGCCTCCTTGGGCGGCAGCGGCACCTTCTCCTGCCCCTTCTCTTTCTCCTTCTCCTTCTCCCGTTCCTTTTCCTTCGGCATCCCTGTGTGTCTCGTAGTCGCAGTCGTAGTCGTAGTCGGTGTAACAGTAAGCAATAACGCCGCAGGGAGTCAGTCTCAGTTTGGTGTCTCAGTCCCCTTTGGCTTTTGCTTTGGCTTTTGCGGTGGTGGCTGTGGTAGAACCGTCTAGAGCAACAGCAGCAGCATGGTGGGCTCCAGCGTCTTGTCCAGTATGGTCTGGTGTGTTCTCGACGAACGAACGAACGAACGCACGTCGTCGCCACGCCGGTGCCAAATATGCGTCGTCCGATGCTAACAGAGCCCGTGGCGTAATTCCCGCAGTTTACACGCGGCAGCAAACAACACCCAATGGACTTAGATATCTATTTCGAAGGCGAACGTTTGTTCCTTCTCCCAGGTCAGTTCAAGACGTCTCTCTCCTTTCTCGCTTTTTTTCTCTCTTCTCCCGTCTTTCCCAAGTTTTTCCACTGCTCCACCTTTTACTCGGGAGACGTGAGATTATTAATGGAGCCAATATTAATAATATCACTCATCTTAATGGAGCGAATTATTAATACTAATCGGAACCGCGGCCGGGAGCCGGAGTATACATGTTACTCAGACTAACTCAGTTCCGGTTACTGAGTACTCGGGCGCGGGCATCTTCGGACGCGGTGCTGTGTACATCGGTGCCAGTAAAGCAGCGGCGCCGTCTAGGTCAAGATCGATGAAATAAATAAATGAAATAAAAATAAAAACTTAACGTATGCACCAGAAAGGCCTGACCTTGAGTTGAACAAGGAACTTCCCTCCCCGAGTATCTCAACAGGGTTACTGGATCGGGAGATGTTACCACTACACCACCAGGCCTTTCTTTACTTGTATTCATAGCGAAAATAACGGATCCAATTCAAAGTTGAATAAATGAAACACAAAACAAAAATGAACAGCCTGACCTTGAGTCGAACAAGGGCCTTGTCTTAGAGTTTTCTTAGTCGCAAAATCCTCAGAGCATGTGTTGCCACTACACCACCAGGCCTTACTTTGCTTGCATTTCGAAGCAGGAGTACTAACAGATCTAAGTTGAGGTTGAATAAATGAAACACAAAAATGAAAAAATGAATGGCCTGACCTTGAGTCGAACAAGAAACTTCCTCATAAAGCTTTCACTTTGAAGTTATTTGCGGAGGATATGTTACCATTACACCATCAAGCCATACTTCGTTCCATGTTTCCTTGATTGAACTCTGATGCTGAAAACATAAGATTAGAGAAAACAAAAAAGGAGAGAGAGACCTACACCTGAATTTGAACAAGGGACTTGCATTAGAGCCTCGATGCGGAGCTTTCATATAGTCAGCATGTGTTACCGCTACACCACCGGGCCCTGTGTTATTGTATTCTGTAGCGGAAATAACAGATCCAAGTCAAGGTTGAATAAATGACGTGCAAACAAAAAATGTACAGCCTGACCTTGAGTTAAACAAGGGACTTGCATAGACAAATGCATACGAGATCAATTCTCAGAGCATGTGTTACCGCTACACTACCAGGCCTTGCTCTATTCACATTCCAGAGCAAGAACACTAGATGCAAGTCAAGGTTGAATAAATGAAATGATAAAAAAAGAAAGTGAACGGCCTGAACTTGAGTTCCCCAGCAATGCAAAACAAAACTTAATGGTCTGGCCTTGATTTGAACAAGGAACTTCCTTACAGGTATGCCAAACAATTGAATCAGCAGACCGTTACACCCGGCCATACTCTACTTCGAATTTCCTTGATTTACAAAATTCTAGCATTGAAATAAAATTAGACAAAGCCAGACATCGTCATCAATCAATTCCGCTTGAGCTGAGTAAAGGGAGGCAGACTAAAATGCCCCCGGATCGAGACCAGGAAGGCTTTATATTTAACGCTTTGGCCTATCTCAGTTGATGCATGTTTGGTCAGACCAATTACTCACAAACATACGGAGCGCGTCTTTCTTTCATTACAATGCAGCAACATCTCCCAGACGAGATTCTCTCAGAAATCCTAACCCCCAGCCTCGACGTGTCTGACAAGGACTTCTCAGACACCTCGGTCGACTCACCGTTCGCATCGTATTCTGGCCACTCAGCGTCCGCCTTCCTCCTCGTGTCGAAATCCTGGCTCAGGGTATCCACGCCACTTCTTTACAATGTGGTGGTTCTCCGATCCAAGGCCCAGGCCGCAGCGCTTGCAGCCGCCCTGAAATTGAATCCGGACTTGGGCCGTTTCATCAAGAAGCTGCGCGTCGAGGGAGGATTCGGCGCAGTGATGCACCCCATCCTCAAATGCACGCCGAACGTTACAGACCTGATGCTAACCATGCAGCTCTGGTCTTCTGATTCACCCTCGGGTCTGTGCCGCGGACTCTCACTGATCAATCCTCAGCGCATTATCTTGCGACAAGGCAGCCAACGGCGCCACAACAAGGCTACAATCGATCTCAGGAAGAGTGTGACTTCATGTATACCCGAGTGGAGTAACTTGGCGAGTGCAATCTCAGCCCAAACGTCTCCTCTCTAACGGCTTTGCAATAGACCGTGTGCGATCTAGGTGATTACGGATACACCTATATGATCACCGATTCACTGGCTCGGTCCAAAACTATCCGCACCCTCTTAATCCCACGCCAATCCTTTGTCAGAGCTGTACTTTCTTCTCTATGTCGCGGCCCGTCTCTGAAAGTGGTGCAAATCACGTCGGAACTGGGGCCGTTCGAAATGTCGTATAAAGCGGAGGTCGATGCTGATCCCAAGCTCAGCAAGCTCATAAAATATACCGTCAAATCGTGAGTTCTTGCGCCGCGCTATTTGTGTACCATCGAGCGCAGATTCCCCTGTTGCAGGACACTCGACGCTCAGCCAGAATTGTTGGTCCCAGTCCCATCTTTAAACCCGTTCGTGAGACCTATGGAGTCTGCGTCCCAGGACACGAGAGACGATATCTGGCGGCGCATTCTGTCGTTTGCGATGTACACAGACGAATCGGAGCTTTTTGACCGCTCCATGGCATTCTGGTCGCGTCCGCCATCATTTCTTTCTTTCTTGCTCGTGTCCAAGACATTCTACGTTCGTTCCCGCGACAGACCACTGTTTCCCAGTCCTGAAATTCATTCCAGAGGCTCGCATTGCCGTATTTATACCGGTGTCTCCTTCTTCAAGGCTTAGGTCCGGCGGTGAAAATTCTTTGCGATCAGCTGATTTCCAACCCTGCGCTGGGATCGTCCATTCGCCGCCTTTACCTTCCGGTATATACAATATTTCGCGAAGACCATATGTCCTCCATCCTTTCCTGCGCTGATCGACTCGAAGTCGTCAAGGGACTGCGGTTTGGATCAACGCGGGACCCCCGCCAGTACAGCCATGACCTCGATCAACCGGAGGTGACAGGGCAAATTAATTCCTTTTCCTTTTCAGTTTTGGCCCACACGTCCGGCGCGACCCTTCGCACCCTGTCAACCGGGCTTAATTCGTCCTCAGTTATGCTCCCAACTGCGCTCCCATCGACTTTATTTTCTTCCTTCAAAGTCCTTCGATCTTTGGAACTGTGGGCAGCAAATGTCAAATTTGAAGTGGGCCATGCTCGGGACTTGAAAGATGCGCTCCCAACCTTGGAACATCTTCGCCTAGAAGCCTGCGATCCCTCGCTACTTCAGGTGTTGACTTGCATGGAGTAATTCTCAAACCTCGCTCGCTTCCATATCTGATCCTCTTTCCTCAGCCTCGACGTTCTTCGGCACTTGTCTTTCGCTGCTTACATATCGCCAGATTATACCGAAGTTTTCGAAAGGTTCTTCCAGAAACATGGGCCAAAGCTCGCCACACTCCGCCTCGCTTCAAACATCGGCGCTGATGTCAACATATTCGACTCTTGCACGCAGCTCGCTACACTTTCTATCGAATACCTGCCGGCAAGACGTGTCAGCCACCTTCACCAAACAACTTACCACCACACAGGCTGATATTTCATATTTCTCAGACACGCGACATGATTGAGCTCTTATCTTCCGGGACTCCGCACATGCGCGTCGCCAAAATTGTCCTCGTCCACCCGCAGTCCTTCACGAAAAATCTGTGATATACACCTTTCCATCCTCCTGTCCTTGCGCTAATTTTTCCCAGCTCCAAGGACGACGAGGCCGAGTGGGATGGCTTTTTTCAAAAGTGCGAACAGAATGCATTCTCTGGCTTGCGCGAAATCCAGGTGTCCTGGTGTGTGTGGCCTCTGAACGAGTACGTGGAGCGCGTTGTGTGCATCCCGCTGCCGCTGATGTGCATATGTATAGACGGGCCATCGCCAAGAGCGTCTGGGTCTCCCGGGCGGAGATGCTGCTTTCGAGGGGAATCAACTTGTTGGACAAAATGGGGAAGCGCTGGATTCCGCGGTTGAAATTGAAGGGCAGTGGGGGGAGGAAGTAGTTATATCTGTACGTGAAGGTTGAACGATCCCATCATACTTCAAACGCCGACTCCGAGTTGAAAAAAAAAGCAAGAAACCCCCGTCTGGCTTTTATGTAAGGACGTTTTCCCTTCGTCAGCAGAACAAAGGTCAGAAGACCTACTTATTTTCCCATGACCATTGACTCCGGATAAAACGGTCGGCCGTTTTGCTTTAGACCATCATCATGCCCTCCTCTCTCGAGTCGTCTTCCCCATTCCCTGCCGTTCGCCGCATCGTAACCGGACACACCGTAGACGGGAAATCAACAGTGCTGGCTGACACCGTCCTCCCGCCCCGTTTTTGGACACCCGAGAGCATCGCGCCGACCTACGACATCCACTACACGGGAGAGTCTCCCGCAAACAACGACAGCGAAATCCGCGCTGGCGGAAAATGGGTGGACGAGGTCGCGGAGCAGAAGGACCTGGTTAGCAAGGACGGAGCGACGTTCCGGAGCTGGGATTTTGCGCCTGGGTCAGTCACTGTATGTGGTTGCACCCTCTTCAGTGGGTGGCACTTGCATGATATATATATGCTAGCCGTTTCACCGCACCATCTCCGTCGACTATGGGATCGTCGCAAAAGGCTCTGTGATTCTCGAGCTCGATGACGGCGAGAGGGTGTCGCTCACTGAAGGCGACACGGTCGTCCAGCGCGGGACTATCCACACGTGGAGAAACGAAAGCACGGAATGGGCAAAGATGTATTTTATCATGCTGGGTATCCATGACTTCATACTTGCTACTGGTAGCCAGCTAACAACAGGACAGGAGCGAAGCCCATTGAGGTTAATGGCAAGCAGCTGGAGGAAGAGTTTCGTCCCGCGAAATAAGAGAGAGAGGCCCTATTGTATACATATTACGGAGTCGGCGCATCGAAAGTTTTATGTGAGAATATATTATACATTCAACTCGGAGCGGCGCGCGCTTTTCTTCTTCCTCAGTATTCAAGGCAATCCGTCAACTTTTGAGGGGTGTTGCAAGCACTGCGGCTGTGGTTTTAGATCGGAGAACCACATCATTACAGAGCAGGGGAGTGGTCCATGGAAGCTCGGACGTAGGAAGCCGGAAGCCGAGTGGCCGGAATGTGACGCGAGGGGCGAGTCGAGCGAAGCGTCTGAGAAGTCGGTGTCAGGCACGGGTCAAAAGTTCCGAAAGGATCCCATCCGGGAGGTGGTGTCGCATCATGCAAAAGGCAAGACGTGTCTGGCTTGTTTGTGAAGGGACAAAGAAGCACCAATCGAGATAGGTCAAAGCGCAGGTTCTCGATTGGGAGGTGCGGGAAAGGGTTTGGCGACGACATCGACGAGAACGAGATTATCAGACGACTATAACAATCGTTCATATATATGCCCCCGGCAGTCCTTCACAGGAGGCGCAATTCAAAGGATATGGGCGATTTCATTAAGAAGCTGTGTGTGGAGGCACGATGTTTCTTATTTTCAATATCACAGATCTCATCATTTCCGTGGCCTTTGATCCCTGGATTCGACTTCAGTCTGTGCCGCGTACCTCATAAGTTGGATTGGATCCATGCAATTTCTACCCGCCGCTGAGTCCTCATGCTGACGTTTCCCTACAGACCGAAGGACGATGGCCCCAAATGGGACACCTTTTCCCATAGTTGAGACTAGGTCAATGCTCTCAGAGGCTGGGGCCGATCCGAATGCTTAAACCGAGGGCTTCGAGATGCCCCTAGCGGCTTGCTCTCGGGTCGCGGGGCTCCCCCTGAATACGTATCACCGAAACATCGCATTTACGTGGACTACGAACTCTCAACAGAGAAGAACATTATATTAACGGCCGTTTTGAGAGCCATGATATGTGCCGGCCATGTTGTTCAGCATCGCAAACTCTTCCTTCCCGGTGGCTTTGCACAGGGCATAAAACGCCGACGCGGGGTTGCTTAAAAGAACAGCGGGACTGAATGCAGAGGGTAGTTGTTAGCCTTGTTTTGTAACTCTCCCCTGACTCACCGATCATACTCAACGATCCGGCCTTGGTCCAAAAGCATGATCTAAGAAGTTTAGCACGCACCCGGATGTCGGTTGAGGAGATGTACCTTGTCATAATCGATCACTGTACGCA